AATAAGCCACCTGTCCGGGCCTTCGCGCCGTGCGTGGGGAGCCGGTTCGTCCTTGTTTTGTTTTGTTAGGTCTCCTGATCCAACCTTGGATAATGATGTACATCTAAGGTTTGGGTATTGGATAAAGTATACGTTCAAGATGATACTATTTGATTCTGATGGTTTCCAGGAGTTCCCTCATCATCCAATAAACCCTACTGGTACAACCAACACAATAAAAAGATGAGAAAACTCTTGGAAACCATCAGAATCAAATAGTATCATCTTGAACGTATTATTATTGTCTCCCCATGTGAAGTAGGCGGCCGAAATATCGTTACTATCGACACATGACTTCACCCAACATATTAAAAGGAAAACACCACTTAGAACTAGATCCTGTATCGCGTTTAAAATATACATATGGAAATGACTAATCACCCAGTCCGCCCCCACCTCCATGAATTGGGGAACAGTGAATGTGGAGTATTAATAACATCTATGAATTAAATATGAATTTAATCGACAAAAAAAATCACATTTTTCTAATCTAATTACACGACATTTGTTAGTTTAATAGACCCAGGAAAGGGAGTGGGTGGTGGTAGCTTCTACTGAATTGTTACATGGTTAAGCTAAAAACATAGTAAGTGCTGGGCGGGGGTGGGGGGGCGCACAACACACAAACAAATACGCAAGACAAATATACGGACATGACTGCGTATGTGTTGTTGATATAAGGAACATTCTGGCGGTATTTCGTCCTTCAAATAAATAACGAATATTTATCCCATACTGTATTAACAATTTAAATTTCAGTGGATGGACAATATCTCAATCTTTACGGGATTCCTGAAATAGCGGAAGAGAATTCTGTATTTCGACTACGTTGCCAGAGACCTGGTGATGGACTTCTTTTTTCAAACGCAAAATTTCAAAGGAACGGCACTGATGTTGCTACTGTGACATGGAGAAGTTTCTGGGGTCAGTCTTCCTGTAGATTGTCTGTACACAATGGAGAAAGAGGTTATGGCTGTGAATCATCACTAAAAACCAAAACTCTTTTAATCAGACATATCAACAAGACGAGAGATTCTAACACTGTATGGTCCTGTAGATATAATAATGGGAGAAGTAATCGATATATTCTACCTGTCAAGATAGGTAATAATCACTTCAATATACATGTATGATCTAATATTGTATCATAACATCTGTAAAGGTCTCTTGAAAACGAAATGAGTATAAACATTAATAAGTGGTGTCAGACATACGATATAAAACGATATTATTGTGGCATGTCTTTGAAGAATGTTGTCTTTTCTTTAAAGATCCACCGCAGTGTGAATTAACAACAACTATTAGATACAATAAAGCCGGTGATCCAGACGTTGATGGTAATACACTTGTTTTATCTGAAGGTGACGATCTTTATTTAAACTGTTCGGCATCCATTGTTTCTAGTGATCATACAAACAATGAAATAACCTACCAATGGAAGATTTATGGAGATAAAGATGAAACATACAATGGATCAGTTTATGTTAAATCTAATATAACAAGATTAGAGGGGGCTATGTACATGTGTACTTCATCTATAGGATCATATTGTACTAGTAGTGACGTCACGTATATACAGATACAATGTAAGTATAACAATACTGTACTAGTAGTGATGCCACGTCATTTTGGTCCAGATTGTCCCATTCCTGTTGCAACGCAGCAGCAAGTTCTTGGACATTGGCAGGACGTTGTTGACGTTGACGTAACCTCTGTCCAAGCATGTCCCAGACATGCTCGATGGGGGAGAGGTCGGGACTCAGTGCTGGCCAAGGTAATGTGGTGATGTTCTGTTGTTGGAGGTAACCTGTAACGATCCTGGCCCTGTGACATCTTGCGTTGTCATCCTGGAAGATGAAACGGCGGCCATGACGTCGTGCGAACGGCACAACATGGACTGCCAAGATGTTGTCCCGGTAGTACTGGCCTGTAACACGCCCTGCAACAATATGTAAAGCCGTTCTTCCAGCAACAGTGATGCCTCCCCACACCATAACAGAACCACCCGCAAATCGATCATGTCTGATGACGTTAACGTCTTGGAAGCGCTCGTTTCGACGACGCCACACCCTCCTACGTCTGTCCAAAAAATCAACAGTGAACCTTGACTCATCTGAAAACATCACATTGCTCCAGCGTCGATTATCCCAGTGTTGACGATCCCTACACCAACGACGTCTTGCCTGAATGTGATGATCTCTCAAACAAGGGATCACGCGAGGGCGTCGGGCGCGAAGGTGACCCCTATGCAGTCGATTCCGAATCATCTGGCCACTCACTCTCACACCAGTGTCTGTTTGAAGACGAGCGCTGATCTGATTTGCTGTGATGACACGATTTCTCAAGGCCAAGGTACGGATAAATCGATCCTGGGCTTGAGTTGTCGCCCTTGGTCGACCTGAGCGTGGTCTGTCCTGTACAGATTGTGTATCATGGTATCTGGACCATAGCCTGCTTATGACAGACTGAGAAACATTCATCGTCCGCGCCACAACCGCCTGTGTTGTGCCGATCTGTAGCATGCCAAGGGCACGTAACCTTTCATTTTGGGTAAGCCGACGCATATCAAAATTTGTTTTCTGGTCACTAAAACAATTAAACTGATGTTTCCACCCTGGAATTCAATGCCACAATGACTGTAACATTCAAAGTCAGAGTCGTGCAAATCTTGGGTTGGACCCCCATGATGATCCCAAGCATCACCTGCATTCCATGCGGTTGCTATTGGTGCGTTTGGGCGTCACATGTAACTGGAAATGTTTCTTCTGTTAGGTTCTATAGTGACTTTTTTCGTAGTCATTTGCATATTTTAGTATTATGCCCCCAAAATCAAATATCCCCTACTTTTTTTGAATAGTATATATACAAATACAATGTACGTATAACAGTACTGTACTAGTAGTAATATCACATATATGCACATACAATGTAAGTATAACAACACTGTACTAGTAGTAATATCACATATATGCACATACAATGTAAGTATAACAATACTGTACTAGTAGTAATCTATACAATAGAACAATACCCTACTGTACTAGTAGTAATATCACGTGTATACAATACTGTACTGTAATAGTAGTATTAACACGTACATACAATATAACAATAAGGTACTGTGATATCATGTATATACACATACAGTACTGTACTAGTAGTGTTGTCACGTACCAGCAGAATCATGACCTAAATTATTCACAGTGTCATGCTGGTTAAGTTGATACCACATATTTCAGGGTGGATCGCGGGGACGAAGTGTGATAGGAGGCACCTACATACACACATAATCAGACAAACAGATATACAGATACAATACTGGTAGTAATATTTAGATTGTGTTACTGTATATTTAAAACGAATACACAGATATAATCAGATACAATACAACAATTCTGCACTAGATTGTTTTACTGTATATTTAACACCAGTATTTATTCGATAAGCGTTTTAACTTCTGTATATTAATAAAACACCGAGTTTAGATTATGTGCATGTTACGAACAACATTATAATTTATATTATGCAAATGTTTGATACCACGCGAATTATTAACATATACGGAAACGAGGCTGTTAATAAGTCACGTGGTGTCCTACATTTGCGTATCAATGATAGTGCTGTGTAGAAAGCGTAAAGGACAAATTAGGAGCGGCAGAGATCAAATGTAAAATGTAATGAATGAAATGTAAGATGTTGACTGGAAAAATTACAGAATTTTCCAGTAACGACGTTCTATATTTAACAATTGCCTTAGGGGTATTTTGACTCTACCGGTATTAGGACTTTGTACCATGTACTTTTTACACATAACCAATGGAAAAACAGATTTTAGCAGAGCATTTAATATTGGCAGCGATACCCTTCCATAAATGACAGACCTTCTGATACAACGTACACGCGTTAACCATTCTGCCCCCCCCCCCCCCCGTCCCATATTTGCAGGGAAATGAAATAAGGTTTAACATCCTACTGTTCTGCTTCGACTGGGCCAATGAAGACGGGCATACGCCATACTGTGTGCGATGGGTGAAATTTTGCTCTACCGCCTACTCTTACTCTATATCGAATTTCAACGTCGGTTTTTTGTCCCATCCGAATAACTGTATCTTACTCAATTTATTCATCATTTTCGTTTTGATGTTATGGTAAATTTGTATTTCTAAATTCACCAAGTTTAAATGTGACTATCACATTGTATTTTTAGATGCTCTAAATTTAAATATAGCTTCGCCTATTTTAAATGTCAATATCAATTTGTATTTCTAGCTTGTTAAATGTCAGTTATGTTTTTTAAATTCACCTAGTAATGTGACTATTACTTTGTATATTTTCAGATCCTCTTAGTTTAAATATAACTGTTAATGATACATCAGAAGCTATTGAACTGATTTGTCGAGTTTTGGACGGCTACCCTAATAATTGTACCATGAGTAACTGGAGACATTATGTTGATGGTCAGTTTGTGAGAGAGATAAAGGGAGTACCAACAAAAGATAGAACAGCTATAGTTTTAAATAACACCATAGTGAATGAAGGAACTTATGTCTGTAATGCTAGTAATGGTATTAAAGATTTTAGAGGTTCAGTTTATCAAACAGATGAAATATGCATCAACATAGAAGGTAGGTTTATCAAACAGATAAAATATACATCAATGTGGCATCCATGGTGATGCTGTTTATAATACCGCTAATACGGCGCAACTGGAAGTAACACCACAGATGATCAACCTGAGTCTTTAAGGTAAGAGCAGGGGTGATCTGATTTGTCTTGAAAGATGACACAGGTTGTGTATCATCAGCATGTGAAAGGTAATCGTTGCATACAAGTAATACCGGTAATACCGCTAATGTTGAGAAACTTATCTGTGTTAAATTGTATGCCACTGGCTATAATATATTTTGTCTGTTTGCATTCTTAATACACTGAAAGATTAATTTATTCATGTTAATTTACAGCACCACCATTAGCATTGGATGATGGACAAGTGATTGACGTGAGAGTGCAGAATAAAGTTGAAATTAAAGCACCGTTTATAATTAGTGGAGATGTTTATAACACCACGTGGTATCAACAACAAGTTAACAGTTTGAATAAAACAGCAATCTCAGTTGATACAACATCTGAACATGGAATCAGACCAGTAAATATATATGGTACTGTAATAAATAAACACGTAACAATTATATCAGGCATTGTAACAATTAGTGAGATGGTGGATATCACTGTTACTGTAACTGTATGTACTCAGTATGGTTGTACAGATTCTTATCAACACGTAACAGATTTAACTGGTAAGATATCATTGCGTTTCTAAAACAGGGGGTCGTGGTGACTCGGCGAGTAAGGTGCTGGCTAACCAGGGGGTCCCGGGTTCGATCCAGATGTTGGCAGAACAGTTCTTCAGACGTGACAATGCTAGAGTCGCCTGTCGTTGTTTCTTCTCAATCCTTAAAAGACCTAAGTACAAACCAAATTAATTTAATTCAAATATAACCTGTTTAGTTTTGAGATCTAACTCCCTCTGTCATGTTTTTTAGCCTCAAGAGCCACACAAGGACCTGAAATCAACATAGGGCTGATTAGTGGAGTGATTGTATCTATAGTATTAATACTAGTGGTCAGTTTTATCATCTTCATGGTGGTCAGAAAAAAACGACAGCCTAATCAAGGTAAGATTGTTTTTTTTCTGTTATTAAAATATTATATTGCTTAGCAAATTGCAGTGTACCGTGAAAATATACTTATAAGCATTATCGTATATACCACAAGGTGTAGCATTTTTCGTAAACACCACGTGGGAGTCGTGGTAATCGTATGTACCACGTGGGGTGTGGTAATCGTATCTATCACATGGGGCCATGGTAATCGTATCTGCCACATGGGATGAGGTAATCGTATATACCACATGGATGTCGTTGTAATCGTATCTACCACATGGGTCCATGATAATCGTATACATCACACGGTGTATGTTAATCGTATATACACGTGGGTGTCGTAGTAATCGTATACATCACATAGTCGTGTTAATAGTAACAACGACATGGGGACCACCGTAGCTGAGTTGTCAGAACGGACAAACACTTCGAGATTTGTCAGGTCCGCTTCCCACTTGTTGTTAAGTGTTGTTTATAGTTTCGTGAATCTGGAGAATTCATGTCAAGATATTTTGTTATCTATATCTAAACATTTAATCTGCCCGTCTTTTGAAATTACAACATATTATATTCGTTTTGTTCTTTAAAAAATATTTCAGAAATTTTGACGTACAGCGGATTACAAATTGGTCCTGGTAAGGGTAGTTTAGAGTCTGCCTATGATGATTTAAGAACCTATGTTAATGTGCAACATCCTCCTAATGACCCTCCTGTTTCGGGTGAAGTTCTCAACAACCCGACTTACGACGGTCTTCAGCCATCCAATGATGCGAGAGTTTACGAAAGTCTGAAATCTGGTGAAAAAACATATGAAAACGTATAGGAGTGCTTGATATCTGGGGCCTGTTTACAAGGTCCACGAGAGATTGCCTACACTTCATTTCTATATATAGAACGTGTTACTTCAATTCAAAATACTAAGACAACTTTGTGTACGTCATGTCACGAACAGCAGGCCTGTAGGGTATCCAGGGTTTATCTTCAACTTATTTTAACGTGTGGTTGGATGGTCGATTGGTCAAATGAGAGCTCAAATGAGTGCGCTTTAGAACATAAGGTCTGTTAATGAGTCACGTGACAATGGGTAGAGTTGTGTGTGTATATCCTAGTGGATCCTACGGTTTCTACCCACTGCTAAAGAGTCCAAGGCACAAGTGAGTTACTAAAACAAAATTGAACCATCTATCAGTGCCGAAATGACCTTTGTGTGGACGTTAACATCTTACTCTTTCTCAATCCCCAATGCGCAAATGAATGACTATATTATATTAGTGCCGAAATGACCTTTGTGTTGACCTGTGTCTGTCTGTGTCTCCTTGTCTCTCTGTCTATCTCTCTCCCCCTCTTTCTCTCTCCTTCTCTCTCCTTCTCTCTCTCTCCCTCTCTCTCTCTCTCTCTCTGTATACCTGTAATGTGCATCTTAGCTCGACTGACTGTTTACTCTTTTTAGACTCGAGATTCGAACAAGCTGAAACATACATTAAAAACTTTAAGATTTAAAAATTGAGCCATTCCTCATTATGCACCTCACAGAATTGTTGACGGACGGGGTGATTCATTATCTGACAACTATCAACTTATTTCAATAAATAGTAATCATTATATTTTTGGTTGTTCATCTTCTAAAAGCAGGTTTTTAAAATTTTAAATCTTCTTTTTGATTCTAAATGAGAAATCCTTTATTTTATTTAAATGAGAAATCCTTTATTTTATTTTAAATGAGAAATCTTTTTTTATTCTAAATGAGGAATTCTTTATTTTATTTTAAATGATAAATCCTTAATTTTATTTTAAATGATGAATTCTTTATTTAACGTAAGATAATAAATAATTTATTTCAATAATAAATCTTTATTTTAAATGATAAATTATATCTTTTGTTTAACTTAGAAATCATACATTTTAATTTAGATGATAAATCATATTTTTTATTATATTTTAAATTTAGTGTCCTATATTTGTTTTGAATAATAAACAATGTTAGTCCAGGAATTACCTACTCTCTCTCTCTCTCTCTCTCTCTCTCGGTCATCTCAATTGGAATTGGATATACCATGAAGTCGTAGTGCAAAATTTTACCCCCATAGCACACTGTATGGTGCAAATCATTAGCCCAGTCCTTACACATATTTTTTTTCCATATCATTTGCAATCGTACCTGGTACTTAGATACGCAGCCCTTAAAGGTCGGAGTAATTCCCTATCTGATTCCTTAACTACCAACTAGATCCATTATAGATTCATTCCAATAAATAGTTATTTTTGTATTTTGTTTGGATCATCTTCTAAAATCATTATCTTATTTTTAAATCATGTCTTTTAGTTAAATAATAAATCACTTATTTTATGTTAAATGGGAAATCTTTTATGTTATTTTAAATGATAAATCCTTTATTTTAATTTAAATGAAAAATTCTTTATTTTAAATGATAAATCATATATTTTGTTTTAAATAATAAATCCTTTATTTTATTTTAAATAATAAATCATATATTTTGTTTTAAATGATAAATCATATGTTTTGCTTTTAATGATAAATCCTTTTTTTATTTTAAATGATAAATCCTTTTTTTTATTTTAAATAATAAATCCTTTATTTTATTTTAAATAATAAATCATATATTTTGTTATACTTGAGAAAAAAAAGCATTTTAAATGACAAATATTATTTTAAATGATAACTCATCAATTCTGTTCTAAATAATAAATAATATATTATGTTTTAAATAATAAATTAAATATTTTGCTATAAATAATGAATCATATATTTTGCTTTAAATAATTAATCATATATTTTGTTTTAAATAATATATGATATATTTTGTTTTAAAAAATAAATCATATATATTCTATTAAATGATAACTCACTTACAGTTTTTTTTTAATAATTTTATCATCCAGATATTCTATTAATTACGTTAAAAAAAGATTCATTCTAATATTAGATCGGCCATCGGCGCTTCCAATATATTTTTCAGAACAACCATTGCATATTATTAGATATACCACATAAGTGGATTTGCAAGTCATATTTGATTTTACTAAAATGTTGTATCTGTAGTTATCTGAATTGAATCACTCTCAATTAGAATATTAAGCGACCCCAGCCCAATTTATATTGGCTACATGTTCGTACGAAAAGTTCGCGCTGCTTCCAGTCCTGCTTGTATCGTTAGGTAGGATTCGTCGACAGCGCTAGTTATATAGCAGGTTTTAAACATAGCTATTATTAATAGCTGATACATTAGATACTATATAAATATTAAAAACACCAATCATCAATGCTCTTCAATAAAAGTAGGGGATATTCAGAAACAATACAAAACTGCGGAAATGCACTGCTGTTTTTATAAGAGGTAACCTGTGTATGTTAATAACAGGCCAATTGTCTACGCATGAACATAAACAGTTCATATTGGGGGCTTATCTGGCGGCCCCATTTCATTCGCAAAGAGATACACTGTCAAAAGTGAAAATGGACCTTCTTGATTTTTGTCTTGAGTAATTGCTCCACCAATCCTCAGCAATTAGTCGTGGCATGCTCCTAATCAACCGTTCAATCACGATTTGGGGCAATCTGACCCACTCCTCTTGCAGTGCAACGGCCAATTCTTGCAGTGTTGTCTGTTGACGTTGACGTCCACGAACACGTCTCCCGACCAAAATAAACGTAACACACTAAAGCAAAGATACGCGAAACAGTACATCTTATGCTCGAACCGATAGGAAAGCAAACATGGATAGGATAAACCAGCAAGCGGCAGTTTTCATCAACACTTCCTTGAAGTGTCAAATTTGACAATGAACCCCTCTATTGCGTATCGCACAGGCAGCTCAGTGGTTCTTCATCTGTGAACATACTCTCAAAGCATGTCAAGTGTCCATGACTATTTATCATATCACAACCTGCATACGTATTTGCATTTCAATATCCTCTACTTTTTTTAAGAGTATAAATGTTAGGCGCAATCTTCACCCCTCGCGCAGATTGCAATCTGCGCTGTCATCACTCCGCGCGCGCAGATTGCAATCTGCGCTTATGAAGCTGGCGCGCAGATTGCCAACTTTGCGCTGATTACCCCACGATGTTTTTAGAGATATTGTAGTGTGTCAGACGCAACTATATATTATATTATATATGATCTGCCTCATATGGTCTTTGTAGTGAAATAATTTTCAAAATCACTGCATAATTAGCGTGTGTGCTTAGAAAATAAGATTTTTAATTCTAGTCAGCAGTATCTCATAATCGGTGCTGACCACGTGACTGAATGTCAAAAATATTTGCTGTAGTGTAATAATAGTTTGACCGATCGTAGTTACTTTAGTAACGAAGTCTTAGAGACCCGTATGTAGGTTCACAAAGTATGTCAGGTAGACCTCTCGACGGAAACTGCTTTATAACTCAAAAGCCTATCTACTAGTTCCTCTTTCCTGGTAGCCAAATGCGATGATATTTTTTCTTTCCGTGTCGATTTGCTCCGATTTGCTCGACCAGTAACTGACGGTCACAAAATTCATTAAAATGTAATCATTAAAATGACTAATACTAACGCACTGATCCATAGTGAATACCGAGTAAGATTAGTCAGATTATCATCGTGGTAATCCATTTTAGTCCGGACAAAGTTCACTTCGCGCGCGCAGATTACTCATCGGAAATTAGACGGAGATTCGCGCATGCGCGGGAGTAATATGTCCGAGGAGGGTAATCTGCGCTCAACATAAATATACGTTCTAAGCATAATTCCTCCTCAACCATTAAATTATAATAAATCAAGCCTGTAATTTGTAATACTTGGAAAATAAGGTCGCGGGTTCGATGCCGGTGTTGGCCGAGAAAGTCCATCGGGATTTTCCGGCGTGGTTTCCCCTTGTCGACGGTACAGAGCGGAGAGCCTGCGGACAGCTGTCTAGTCGTTCGGATAAGACGAAAAACCGAGGACCCGTGTACACAATGGCGTGCAGTTGGGATTCGATATAAGAGTAGGTAGTAGCGCCACTTTCCGGGCGAAATTTGGCTCACAGCACACTGTATGGCGTACGTCGTCTTCATTAGCCCAGTCGGGGCAGAACAGTAGGACGATAAACCCCATTTCATTTATTTGGCAATTAAGAAATTCAAACAAAATAAAATCGTTTAAAACAAAGTTAAATTCAGAAAGTCTAATATACAGTTACAGTGTATCTTTGTATATATTTTATGATATAATTTTAGTTAAAGTAGTAATTGACCAAAGTCCCAATTGATATCTCATTAATCTTTCAAGTCTTTTAAGTGTTTGGGTTTAAACTTAATGTAACGATATATATTACGTAATTATAGTTAACATGCGTCCTTGCTATATCCATATCTTCTGCTGTGTTTAAACATCTGTTTCCTATGTACAATTTAACATTTCTTGTCAAATATTATTATATTATTATTTTAATCCTAAGCTTGTATATACATGTATGTTCCATAGTCTACTGTAACTTTAGTCTGGTGACCGGCTCGCCCTTGCGATACCTATCTTGTTATTGTGACCGTTAGCCAGTTTTGGACACTCGTTTATTAAAAGTACAATTTTCGTGGTTAGTGTTGGAATCAGCTACAACCCCCAGAAAACAGCACTTCGACAATCTGGTTAAAACACAGATCCTATTTCGTTTCGTTTTTATAGTTCAAAATTTCGTTTTACTTGTCTTTACTGCACTTGGATCTCGAAGACTTGTTGTTTAACTCGTGTTCTGCTTGAAATGAGGGGTCAGCCATTCAAATGGTCTGTCGAATCGAGTGTTTGACTTTTTTTGCCCGGAACTGTGGGTAATCCACTAGTAACATCAATGCTGATTGGTTAATCAAATGTCTGACCTCATAGGTCAAAAGTTGGTCTTTTGACCCCTGACGTGACCTATCGCTATAACTTGTCAGATCTTCATGTAGTGTAGGCCATCGAAAGTATAAAAAAACGAAACGAAATATAGATCTGTATTTTGATCAGATTGGCACTTCGGCAATACTGTAAAACAAACGCACAAAAACGTAGGGTTTCAAATGTTTACAGAATAGTGAGCTCCAGATAAAACGTCGCCGACTACCCGGGAAATAGGTACATTGTTTATGTAATTTTCAGGTGTAGCTTATACTTCAAATGGCGACCCTCCTGTCTCAGGTGAAGTTCTCAACAACCCGACTTACGACGGTCTTCAGCCAACCAACGATACGAGAAGTTACGAAAGTCTGAAGTCTGGTGAAAAAACATACGAAAACGTATAGGAATCCTTGATATCTAGGGTCTGTTTACAAAGTCCACGAGAGAAAAACTTTAAAAATAACATTCTGTCCCACTACCATAGCAGCGACTGAACTCCGGCGAGTTCATAAGTTCGTCTAGTGAAGATATTTTGTTATCTATATCTAAACATTTAATCTGCCCGCCTTTTGAAATTACAACATATTATATTCGTTTTGTTCTTTAAAAAATATTTTATACTAAGTGTGTAAACTGTTTGTATATTTTCATTGATCAAAGTATGCATTGAATGTTTTTCAGAAAGTTTGACGTACAGCGGATTACAAATTGGTACTGGTGAGGGTAGGTTAGAATCAACCTATGATGGTTTAAGAACCTATGTTAATGTACAACATCCTCCTGGTGATCACGGTTTAGATAATACTTCAAGTAACGAACCTCCTGTCTCGGGTGTGGCTAATACTTCAGGTGACGATCCTCCTGTCTCGGGTGAAGTTCTCAACAACCCGACTTCCATTCACTTGATTTAATATCTGTTTATTTGGTGCAATGTCTATTTTCTGTCTTGTCCGCAGGTTTATCTTGTAGATTTTTGTTTTACGTGTAGTGCGGTCCTTCTGCACTTACTAGTAGACTTCATTTCTATATATAGAACGTGTTATTTAAATTCAAAAGACTAAGACAACAACTTTGTGTACTTCAAGTCATGAACAGCAGGTTGGGTGGTCGATGGGTCATGCCGAAATGACCTTTGTGCGGACGTTAACCTCACATCTCTCTCTCTCTCTCTCTCTCTCTCCCTCTCTGTATTAAATAACAGATTAACCTTCTGCCCCCTATTCCCTTTTCGAGAAAAAAAAATCCATGGTTACCTCCCTTCTTAGCTAAACAACATAACACATACTTATAGTTATGGAAAACAGCTACTAGTGTATTTAAGGCGACGTTTCGTAGAGTATTCTCTCGACGTTATCAAGCTAATACAGTAAAACAGGTATGAGGCAAATATATATAGACTAAGTATTTGCGATATTAACCGAATATGGTTAATGAAATATGTGCAATGAAATACCAGTTATATTTAATCTACCCTTCATCATGTTACATTTATCTGTTGTATATACTCTATTGCCTTAATTTATTGTCTTAACTATAATAATAATCACCTCCCATATTCGGTTAATATCGCGGCTACTTAGTCACCTTATTGATCGTTTAACATAGCGGTTTGTTTTCTTACTTTTGTATATTGTTACCAAATTGTGTCACAACTCTTTGATCTAATTGTTGTAAGGTATGGTTTCCATTCTTGTTGTTAAGACATCCTCACTGGCCATAATTAACTCTCTATCTGCTATTGTATATCTTAATAAGTGTTGGTGTAGGCCTTTGATCATGTTGTTGCTAAGTATGGTTTCGGTTATGTTGTTGTATTTTGTCTATATATATTTGCCTCATACCTGTTTTACTGTATTAGCTTGATAACGTTGAGAGAATACTCTACGAAACGTCGCCTTAAATACACTAGTAGCTGTTTTCCATAAGTATGTGGTTTGTTGTTACTCTATCCAGTTACTAAATGCCTTTTAAAGAACATATTCTTAGCTAAAGCTTCAATCATCCCTTCCAATCGTACTTCGTATATATAAATGGTGCACCATGGTGGCTCGCTAACCAGGAGATCCTAACAAACGGTGCAGGATCGAGGGCCTGGAGAGCACAGCGTATAGTCAGTAACTTGCACGTAAAAAACCGTTATCTCAATTGGAATTGGAAATACCCTGAAGTCGTAGTGCAAAATCCCCCCATATCACACTGTATGGTGCAAATCATTACCCCAGTCCTTACACAAAAGGATGACGTTTTCCCTCATTTCATATTTTTTCCATAGCATTTGCAATCGTACCTGGTACTTAGATACGCAGCCCTTAAAGGCCGGAGTAATTCCCTATCTGATTCCTTAAAGGCTCAATACCACTCTTGTTGTAACAGAATAATATGTCCCAATCTTTATTCTGGTCAACAAATTGTACAATTTTACAGTATTCCAATTAATTGATGATACAAATTTCATCTTAACACACCTAATTTAAAAAATTGGAAAAATTCAACTAAATGATTTGAAAAGCCTAATGTAAACCTTTTCAAATGTGACTTGGATTTAAAAATATTTTCGAACCCTCTGGACAAGTAAAATAGGGTATAATGGATAATTTACACAACAGGTAGGACACTTAAACATCTAATACTTAGAATAAGGCTAATATTTATTTACTGGAGCTGTCAATTCTGTTTTAAATAATAAATTATATATTAATTTAAATGATAAATCATTTATTTTGTTTTGAATAATAAATCATTTATATTATTTTGAATAATCATAATCATATATTTTGCTTTAAATAATAAATCACGCATTCTGCTTTAAATAATAAATCACATATTTTTTTTAAACAATAAATTAAATATTTTGTTATAAATAATAAATCATATATTCTGCTTTAAATGATAAATCATATATTTTGTTTTAAATAATAAATCATATATTCTATTAAATGATAACTCACTTATATTTTTTTTTTAATAATTTTATCATCCAGATATTCTATTAATTACGTTAACAAAAAGATTCATTCTAATATTAGACCGGTGTTCCCAATATATTTCTCAGAACAACCATTGCATATTATTAAATATACCACATAACTGGATTTGCAAATCATATTTGATTTTACTAAAATTTTGTATCTGTAGTGATCTGAATTGAATCACCTTTGATTAAATAATGAGCACTATTGGCGTCTCGAGTTCCCACATTTGGATTACTGAAGCTTTTGAAATATCCGAATTGAGTCTGGATTTCGAAAGAATCTTACGTAAATTTGGAGACTGTTGTTTCCGACTATTTATCAATTTACAAAGTTTCAGTATGTATTCCATATCAACCACCTATCTGGGTAAGGTATCTATATCTCTAAGCGATCACGCTACTGCGCTTTCTCGGTTTACATATCGTGACATCTTCCACATGACCGAAGCAGTTGTACTGACCCTGATACTGTTTAAAAGCCAGAACGTACATGCCATTTCTGCTCCATAAAATCGAAATTGTTTACATTTCCATTCTATCGAATCCATTTTGTTAATTTTTAAAGGAATTAATCTAGCTATCGTGTGGTGTATGATCACATAACCAAATAATATAACTCTGACCCCATACGGTGATCGAGGATGATTTCAAGGCCGTAAAATTAAAACCTCGGATCATTGGTATAGTATTCTTCTTACAACCTTGTAATTAGACAATAATTAAAGTGGAAAATTATTTCAACAATATTGTTGATGTGTATATAAAACAGCTGCCTCACGACTAGACCTTTACAAAGGGCATATGAACCATATTGATTCGCACGCTACTTAACCCCTGGAATAATAATCATAGTACCTTTACCATTCCATCGATCACGCACAGCTAAACATCAATAATTCAAATCTATTTCTGTCTTGAAGAAGTAGAAGATTTACTCACCAGATTTGGTAGTGAGGATGTATAAAGGGGATTTAGATGTCTGATATTCAAACAACATGTTTAACATAGGATCAAAGGATCTAATAATAACGCAATCTGATTAAAACACAGATCCTATTTCGTTTCGTTTTTTTATAGTTCAAAATTTTCTTTTGTCTGTACTACACTAGGAGACTTCTTGGTGTGTCATGCACGGAACTGTGGGTAAACCGCTAGAAACGTCAACGCTGATTGATTAATCAATGTCTGACGTCATAGGGTCAAACATGATACGACCTTCCAGTACAACTGGTCAGATCTTCGTGTAGTGTAGGCCATCGATAGTATAAAAAGAGACGAAATGAAATATAGATCTGTATTTTAGTCTGATTAATGATAACGTTGACTGTGGATATGACGTTTTTTATTTCAACAATGGTGGAACAAACATTAACAGCCATTACATCTATAATTCGAACACAAGAACCTAACATATATTCTACGTATCAGGCTGTAATCATAATGACCAGCGTCCAAGTAACGTCCGCTTCAATTGGCCTGGCTTGTGCTTCTACCTGAGATCTGGGCCCTGTGTCTTGAAATTTTAACGAAAGATATAATCCAATTTTAGTAGATATTTCAATTTTGATTCGCTAAGCACTAAAATCATTCTAATATTATCCAATCAAATTACTAAAATTTGGATTTTATCTTAGTTAAATTTTCGTGAAACAGGTCCCAGGTGTTCTCAACAAACTCATTAGTATTTAACAACCTCCTTTCACAAACTATAATACATAAATATATATATTAGTAGCCGTCATGTAACAAACAATCATATAATATCATCTAATAATATAGTGACTAATTAACTAACTTAATTAATACATGTTTAACACATAAAATATATCTCCAACTCGCAGCTATAAACCAACCACATCGGCTTAAACATACATTATACACGGGCTAAATCTGCCTATTGATGGTCTTTCTTTAGGTCTGAAGTGTTATCTAAGTTATTAATTAGACATTAATTAACTTATCCAGACCATAATAAACTCTCGGTGTCATTGCTAGTCTGTGATATTTACTGGATTGGAATCCGATCTGCTATTATAGTGAGAACTACCAGCTCTTTATCTAATCTCGCATAATGCATCTTTAATCTTTAATATTACGCAATGCATGTCTAAGGAAAGTCATTAGCAATAGTGTATGTATCGGGAATCGACTTGCAAAAATGAGGTTTACAATTTCATAATTAGGTTAAATTCAAAATCAGTATAGAGATATTGGAAATACTGGTGAAATTTTAAAATTTTAATCAAAGTATCATTATTTGTGCTGAGATACCGGACGAAAGGTCTAAACCCAATTTGTATGAAATTATTATATCAACCTTCGTTATTCGGATTGAACAACCAAACAAGTTCCCATCTACAAATTAGTAGTTCATGTACTCATTCGCAATAAAACAGCAATCACCAGGAATTAGCAATTTCAATATCTTGAGTACAACCAGAAGCATTTAGTGTTTAATTTTTAAAAATATTCTAATGACCAAACTAATTTTGCATGGTACTGAACTGATTGAAAAGCTACTGTTGGAGAATTATATATCTTTAATCTGGGTAAATTTAGAGTATGTTTATGTAATATTTGAATAAGTTTACACAATATTTCATTCAGTAAATTAAATAAGATTTAAATAGATCAAAAAAATACCAGTAGCTTTATTATTCACGTCTTTCAATGTCAGTGATTTTATCAATGGTTACTTGAATTGTAAAGTTTCCATCATCATCAATAAATTCATTAGCGGGATCACTGAGTTTTCCCCAGTCAATAAGGTTATACCAGTATAACACACCACCAAGTCGAGCAGTACCAGCATATTGTTTTACAGCAGATTGTCTATCATCTATTTTATTTATAACTTTACATGTGACGTCAACATGACATGACGTAATAGTTTTATCTTCTACATCTTTGAGCCTTAATACAACACACAGTGACTCTCTACACCGATCATCCATATATAATCTAACACCTATTGATGATAAGTCTGCAAATACACCGATAGTCCAGGTAAAACCGGAAACTACGTGTCGATCCCCGTCACGCCCCTCATCACCTACTGGCACATTATTCACATCAAAAATATCTTTAAACATATTCTATCGGCAAATAACAATGTTACCAATTACAACAACCAGACAAATATCGAGATAGTTGTTAAAGCGCTACAGCTTATACCGTCTTCCAATCCAAATTGCTTATATATCACTTAGTTTCAAGTCAAAACCCAAATTGCTTATATATCACTTAGCTACAAGCCAACAACACATTAAGTCTCGTTGCGCAACATTCACATCGGTCGAATATCGTGTTGAAATATCTAGCTATCACGCCATATCTATATTGACATACCCTCTTTAACAAATACTAATGTTCTAGCGTTGCTATATCCCGTGTCAAGTATTGATGTGTTAAAGTGGCTATTCTCCGTATCAATTTTCTGACATTAACCGTCAATATCCACATGCTTTAAATTTCACGTTCACAATGTCAGCAGCGGTTGATACTTGGCGATAATGTTTATATACACAAAGACAAAAGTTAAGCACCCCTAGTCGTTCGGATGGTACGAAAAACCGAGAACCCGTGTACACATTGGCGTGCATGTAAACGATCTCTTGGCAGTTGGGATTCGATATAAGAGTAGGTCGTAGCGCCACTTTCCGGGCAACATTTCCCTCATAGCACAATGTATGGCGTATGCCTGTCTTCATTAACCGATTCGGGGCAGAACAGTAGGACATTAAACCCAATTTGATATACTTGGCAGTTAAGAAATCAAAACAAAATAAAATCGTTTAAAACAAAGTTAAATTCAGGAATTTCAAATGTTTACAGTATGGTGCACTCCAGATAAAATGTCACCGACTATCCAGGAAATAGGTAATAATCGTTTTATTTATGGTCATTTTCATTATATAAAAATTTACAACATTTGGCTCGGACTTTCAGACCTTTTCGTAAACTGTATGGCGTATGACCGTCTTCATTAGCCCAGTCGGAGCAAAACAGCAGGACGTTAAACCTCTCTTCATTTTGGAGGAATACTCGGCGTAATGAACTGTTGTTAAAATCAAGAAGGTCCCATTTCTAATGACGAGAGAGGGACAACTCCCGACAAGTTACACAACACAATATGAAATGGTGGAATGAAATGGGTTCAGCACCTACTGGGGTAATGAAGACGGGCATACCCAATGCACTGTGCTATGAGGGAAATTTCGTCCGGAAAGCGGTGTTATGGCCTATACTGTTACATCGAATTCCAACTGCCAAGGGACCTACGTTTTTTCTTACCATACGAACGACTATACGTTGTCCCTTGTCAGGCCCTCTGCCCTGCAACACCGCCAAGGATGGGGGGGGGGGGTAAGAGCACACTTCCTATGAACTTTCTCTGCCAACACAGATATGGAACACGGGAACTCCGGGTTAGCGCACCAACGCCTTACTCACCGAGAAACCGTATGTTGTAACAGTGCATATGTTACAAACATAACACTTTAAAGTGAAAGAAAGCTTTTGATGGCGACATCCCGGATAAACCTGTTTTCCATTGCATGTAATTAACACTAATGTTATGTTCCCCATTGTCGTGCGAATTGTTACGAAAGGATTTCCCCCATAGAGACTTTTGGCAAGTGGAATTTGGCTGATTCGTATCATTTA